TTGTGTTTAAGTTTCAAATTATCATCTCTCTTTTCTTCCCATTTACAGTGATCTAACCTAATCATGTTTAACCTAAGACATTGCAATCTGGAATAGGGAAACTATATCTAATGATGGAAAGTGGATGTTATTTTTTGCATTCAACACCTCAGAATTGTACAAAACTAGCCACAACAAATCATGTAAGATTTTTTTTAATTTTCTAAGCCTGTATAATTATATCCTTAGTTCTACGGTCCGTATCTACACATCGTATCATGTCAAAATGAATAGTGATTCATCTCTTATTTAGACCTTTCACATAGTACCTGTCAAACCGTTAACACGGTATTTCCCTTACCGATAAAAAGATCAGGATTTATCAACTGAACGTTGTGCAATAACAGTTAGTATTTCCAAATGGGTCTCCAGGGATTAATCTGGTGCGTAAAACCCCGAGGAAGACATGAACTCGTCCATCGATAATTATCAACAAAGTCAATCAACTCCGTTGCTTAATTGACGGCTGAATAATTTGCCTTGATCGGATGGAAGGAAAATACGCTCTGCACTCACACGGCCCCCGACGCAGACTAGCAAGATAAAATGAGGAATCATTGCTGCCAACAATGGCGTAAGTTAGAGTCCGCTTGTCTGGCGAATAACTGTCCATGTCCATATAAATCTTTTAATGCGAACAATCTCACCTTTCTCACTTTCTCTGCAGATGTGTCGCTAGCTTAGTGTTTATCAATACGGATAGAGAAATCGTGGAGCTGAGTTTAAATACCCACTTTTTTTGTATTAATCGCTTACCAAAAAATCACTAATTTTTGTTCTTTTATTGTTCTCTCTCAATGTTTTTTTTTTCAGTAACACCTTGCGTCTTAGTGGCTTCATTGCCTTGCTTGGATTGAAATGATTTTTAAAACAGGTTCAGCTCAGTACAAACAAATGACTAAAGGAAAAACTACTTTGGCAAAGTACTAACTGCTCTAATCAATTGGTCAAGCAACTCATATCGGAGGGTTTGTTCCAGATAATTTATATAGCCGTCGGAGGCGCGGTGGAGTAATAGATAGCGGCACAGCGTGAAGAATCGAAGATCCGAGTTCGATTCCAGTCGAATCCATTACATTCACTTACGGGCTAATACTCTTGGGAAAGATATGAATCCTCTTCTTCTCCCCCACCCAAGCTATGGGTAAATAGCAGAACATACAGGGTTCTATAGCCTTGGATGACAACTGGTCTACTGCAGAAAGAAATGGCAACCTACTGCGGGAAAAAAACTGCCTCATCTGTCATGTATCGAAAGATACATGATCGCCTTATGCGTGTATCACGCCTGGCACATAACTGACTGAGTGACTTTCCAGTCGAATCCATTACATTCACGTCCGTGTTAATACCCTTGGGAAAGTTATCAATCCTTCTTCTCCCCCAGCTATGGGTAAATAGCAGGGGAGACCAGATTCTATAGCCTTGGATGGCAACTAGTCTACTGCAGAAAGAAATGGCAACCTACTGCGGGAAGTAAATCTGCCTCGTTAGTAATGTATCAAAAGATACATGATCACCTTAAGCGTGTATCATGCATGATACAAAAAGAAATGGCAACCTACTGCGTGGGAAAAATCTGGTCCGTCAGTGATGTATCGAAAGATATATGATCGCCTGGCACATAACTGATCTTCCCAGCTATGGGTAAATAGTAGACCAGACCGGGTTCTATAGCCTTGTATAACTGACTGATATAGCCTCTGCGTTTCTGATATATTAAGGATTATTTATGAAAGGGTCTCTCAAGAATGGTGATGTTCGGGCTGTTGTTTTTGACATCTTGAAAGTATTAGACAAGGTTCGACATACCTGTCTTCTTCAAATGTTGAAATGTTATAGTATTTCTGGACGAATTTTTGATTAAGTCTTTCTTATCAAAATCGCAAAATGAAAGTTGTCCTGAACCACCATTCTTCTCGATCTTTCTGCATTAATGAAGGTGTGTCCCCCAGGTCTCTATCCTTGGGCCTACTAATTTTCATCAACGATGGCACGATTTCTCAACTCTGCATCTCTGCTGGTGATACAACTATTTACTCCTGTCTTATAAAAGGTGTTCCAATTCCTTTTCACGATTTTAAATGTGAATTAAGTTTAAGCGTCTAATGATTTTTTTTTCTTTTTCTTTTAGATTTAACAACTTAGGCCTTTGGCAATTTAAATATTTCAAGTGAGAATATTTTTTGACTATAGTAATGTAGCATGTTTACTTGAGTAAAAAAAAAAAACCCAAAACATTTTCATATTAATTCTATTAAAGCTCTATCCTTGTCTTCGCTATTGCACACTCTGCGACAAAACCTGCTTACCAATAGACCACTAAAAAGAATGGTGAAGTTCAGGCTGTTGCTTTCAACATCTCGAAAGCATTAGACATGTTGAAAGGTTATAGCATTTCTGGAAGAATTTTTGATTCAGTCATTAATATCAAAATTGGAAATTTCTATATTCAGCATTCTATGTGTCCTGTGAGGATCAAATTTTACAAGCTTTCTTTCCTTTTTATGTAACCCAGAAATTCCAGCTGTTCCTTCGTAGTATAAGTGTCCTTTTTGCTTACATTTCCTTGCGCAGGCTCTCAGTCTAATGTATGCTCAGCATGCTTCTGTAGGATAACAATTCTGTTGCCTCCTGTTTACTCTTTATCTGTAAGAAGATTGTCCACCATTCACTGACAGAAAATAAGATTGATGATACTTTTAAATAGTAATTTTCCGTTATCAGTAAGAAGCCGTGATGGCTAATGAAGAACCAGAGTTGGTTTGTTCCTTATTCTATTTGTAGTATCGTCTTAATTTTCACAAACCGTACATCTAATATATAAAGCTTAAAGACTATATGTATGTGTGTCAGACCGACTTTCGAATATTCTTTAATACTGGCTATTTTCAGAAGTGTGTGTGTTTAGAAATATGGCGTAATTTCTGGAATAATTTGTGCTTTCAATGCGGATGAGGAATTGAATCTGGATAGGCTCCATTGGAAAACGACTTCTTATATATTTTTCTTTCCGAAATTGTTTTTTTTTTTTCTTATAAATGCTTTTTTCTATTCTTTTTTCTTTGGAACTTATATCTAGTTTTTATTTCTTTTCTCCTTATTTTATTTTTTTTTTACCTTTTCTTTTCCATTTTTCTTTTTTTAAAACGTGTTTTCCTCTCTTAAACTTAGCTCTCTTGTCACTGCTATGTGTTTCTTTTTCTTTCTTTCTTTCTTTTTAGTCTTTTCTTCTTTTGAAGCCATTTTTATTCCTTCCTTATCTCTTTCTTTTTTAAACATTTTTTCTAGCTTTAACTTCGACATAATAACATTAAATGTCCTTGCTTAACTGGGAAAAATAATTTCTATATTCAGCTTTCAAAACCAAATTTAAAAATGTAATATTATTAATTAAATTGCTTACTTTTAAAATAGAAGACATACAATATAAGACACTAAAGCCACTCAATCTTACTGTTAATATCGTACTAATAGATGTTCTCCTCTGGAAGTGGTAACTATCTTAGCATTTAGATCATAGCTTGAGTATGAAGAGAAGTAAGCTATTGTGGCAATTTTAATAGTATACTTTTAAAATCTAACAAATATATTATACGATCATAATATAGATACAAGAAACACTTATCAAAATGTAAGAATTAGCGAATTGTTTTAATTACGACAACTGCGTTAATAACATCTCCTGGTCTTGATAAAACCTATTTACTCGAAATAATTGTTTTAAGAGAAATAATACTAAAAGAGAAGTAATACCAAAAGTCTGTGATTGCTTCCCTACTTGTGTGGTGCTTCCGTCGGTCCGGAGCATAAATATTTACGAGTTATTTATTCAGTATGAATTTTTATATTAGTAGGTAGTACTAATTTTTAGTAAAAAAATACATACAAAATTTTTATATTTTTATATATTTTAAATACGTAAATATCTTATTATTATATTTATATATATTTATAAATATTTTTTATATATTTGAATAATTTTTTATATATTTTAAATAGGTAAGTATCTCATTTTAAGAGTATTTTTAAAAAAAAAAATAAAAGCTGGGCGGATCCGAATATATTGAGGCTCCAGACTACAAGTGATTTCGAACCGAACCCTTTATTTCGCCCACCGGGGTCGATAGTTCTAGTTCTACGTGTCATGTCTCATCCGGATGTCTCAGATATTTCCCTTTAACTCAACTCTACAAGTTTTGGCTACTGTGGCCTAGTATTGAACACGGAACTCTTTGTGTGTAACCAATGTCTTTATCCACTGAGACACGTGTCCTTGATGTAAATAATACACGTAATTCAATCCTACTTAGCGATTTTTATTTCTATGGAGCACTTTATCTTTTCGTTTCTTCGCTGAACAAACTTTAGCGAGAGTCGTCAATCTAAAATCGACGATTTAAACAAAACTCGTGTAAAAGTAAGGCCTGCAGTTTACCTCAAAACTACATTCAAATAATAATACTAATAATGAAAGAAGTTGGTGATGTCTCACTCTGCATCACCAGCATCTTTCTTTAACTCCCACATCATTAATGCAAATCGCCCCTTCCACCGCCAACACGTTTTTCTCAACTATCAACTTCTATCACTATCACTCGCTTGCTGCGAAGGGAACTCCCCAGAACCCAACCTTCGGAAAGACCCCGACCAACCAACCGTTGGTTTCTCGGGATTGGGTAATTGAGAAACTATTACAAGATAAGAAAGGGGGAAGAAATTGATTCTGTTTCGATGAGAAGTAATTTTAATTGAAATGATTTGTCTGCGATCAGCGTTCCTACTACTGAAAGGTGATTGAATCCTTTCTGTTCCTCCTTAATTTGTGCTTATCATGTGAATGGAGAGTAATTAGTTGAATCTCGATAGGCTTCATTGGAAAACGACTTCTTACATATGAATCTCCTTCCGAAGAAATCTTTCTTTTTTTTTTCTTTTTCTCTTTTCTTTTCTATAAATGAATGTCTTCTATTCTTTTTCTTCTGGAATTTATATTTAGTTTTTATTTTCCTTCTTGGTGTTTTTTTTTTCTTTTCTTTTTCTTTGTTTCTTTTTCATTCTTTCAAATATTTTTATTCACGTTCGTTTCTTTTTTTCTTTCATTTGTTCATTGTTTATTTCTGTTTTCTTCTTTTCTATCTAATTTCTTCTCTCTTTGCAACCGAATTCTTTATCATTCTTTCGAATTTCATTTCTTTCATTATTTTCTTTCTTTTTTTCTAGTTCCTTCATCGTTGGCATTTGTTTTTTATTCCTTATTTCTTTTTTTAAACATATTCTTCCTTCTTTCACTTTTTCCTTTCTATGGCCACTGCTATATATTTCACTTTCTTCCTTTCTTTCTTTCTAGTTTCTTCTTCTTCAAAACATTTTCTTTCCTTCTTTCTTTTTTCTTTCCGTCATTATTTTTTTAAACATTTTCTTCCATTCTTCACTTGGGTTTTTCCTTCCTTTGCCATTGCTATATGTACTTTCTTTCTTTCTCTCTTTCTTTCGTGCTAATTTCTTCTTCATTTTGCAAACTTTTTCATTCCTTCTTTCTTTCTTTTTTCTTTCCTTCTTTATTCATTCAAATACTTTCTTCCTTTCTTCACAAGGCTTTTTCCTTCCTTTGTTACTACTATTTCTTCTCGCCTTTTTTCGTTTTATTAACAATTTCTTTTATTTCTTAATTCTTCTTTTGCAAATATTTTTCTCGTTCGTTTCTATTTGTTTTTTTCTTTCTTATACCTTCCTTTTCGTTTTTTTATTCTTTATCTATCTCTCTTTGCAAACATTTTGCTTCACCAAATTTCTTCTCTTTTTCTTTCACTAAATTTTCTCTTTCTTTCTTTCTTTCTTTCTTTCTTTCTTTCTTTCTTTCTTTCTTTCTTTCTTTCTTTCTTTCCCCACGTAATTTTTTTCTTTTACTCCGATGCTGTTTCTATATGTTTTGTATTGACCAGGAGATTCTTTCGTTCATTCTTTCTTTCTCTCTTTCTTTCTTTCTTTCTTTCTTTCTTTCTTTATTTTTTTTTCTTTCTTTCTTCCTTTAATTCTTTCTTTCTTTATTCCTTTCTTTCTTTATTCCTTTCTTTCTTTTCGATGCTGTTTCTATATGTTTTGTATTGACCAGGAGATTCTTTTGTTGTTTCTTTCTTTCTTTCTTTCTTTATTTATTTATTTATTTTCTTTGTTTTTTCCTTTAATTCTTTCTTTCTCTATTCCTTTCTTTCTTTATTCCTTTCTTTCTTTATTCCTTTCTACACATTTCCTGCATACTTTCTTTTACCTCCAGATCTTACCTCCCCGCCATCATTCCTTTCCCATTTTCCAATTTACCGTTTGCAAACTCCCTCCGTATCTCATCTCCCAAATCAGCCAATCTTTTCGCTTGGAAACACAAATTGTTGGCCATTCACGAGCAAATCCCTTATTGAATCACTTTCCATCACACTAGCCGTTCCTCTCAAACCTTTCCAGCCACTTCTAACTTCTTTCTTCCCTTGTTTCCTTTCATCCTTCCTTCACGAAATCTAAGTTTGGCGCCTTTAAAGACAATGATGTCGAATGCATGGGGACGCGTTCAAGAGTAATAAACGTGAAAAAGGTTAAACAGTGAGGGAAAAGACTCGTCGAGTTGGAGGGCTTCTCGCTGAGGACATGTCGATTAGACAAACAGGGATCAAAATATCAACATTCAAATATGAGTAGTAAGTTAATTAATAAAACGCTAACGATAGCCGTGAAAATTTCGCGGTTTTCTTATTTGAATTTTGACATTTATCATAATATGAAATAAAGATGGCCGTTCCCGTACGGCATAGCTAAATGGTTGAGCTTAGCAATAACAAAATGTAATAGTAATCGTGAATACGAATATAGGTTATTTGAAGAAGAGGGTACAAATGAAAAGATTTAAAATTGACACGTTTTTTCTATTTCATTGAAGTAGAAGAAACACTGAAATCAAACAGCGTTTCTAATATGTCTTTTCAGTCATGAACACAACGGAATAGTTCATTATTTGTGAACTACTGGCTGAGAATAATGTACGTATGTGCTAAGGAAATAACTGGGGGGTGGGGGTAAGCAGAATTATAATTTGACTAGCGTTACCCTAGAAATTTTCAAGGTTTTCCAGTTTTAATTATTTCTCCTACAATAGGGGCTATCCCTTATTTTCTGTTCAAAATTGGGTTTTATATTTCCTATAATTTTATAGTCTTAACGTCTCCGTCTGAAATGTAATATTTTATTTATTATTTTTTAATCGGATTCACCCCAAACAAGGAAGTAAAGCCACTAAACCACAAAGAGTTACTGAGTGTGAAATAATAAGGTAAAATGAGAAACATTATTAAGGAACGAGAAGAACAGAAGAGTAACCAGGAAGACAGAAGATAACGATTGACACTAAATGTAAATTTTTGTAGATCATAGTTAACTGGAAAGACGTAAAACTACGCCCGCGTCCTGGGTAAGGCGTTAAACTACGTCCAGCAGCAAGGCCTCTGGTCAGGAGGTTTTGAGGAGCGTGGAACCACCTCTTAATATCTGAAGTTCCCAAGTCCACACTGACGAGGGGTGGTAGCACCTGTTAGGGTCCCAGCTATGGGCAAACAGTTAACTATTACCAGCAATACTTTTTCTGAAAAAAAATTATTACCAGCAATACAGCTTTGAAGGAAATATATTACCAGAAACAGATTCTTGACAAAACAAAATATTACCAGCAATAAAAATTTTTGTTGGCATTAAATAACCCATTGAGTTTGATATGCCGTAAAACAAAATAAACCAAACCAATCTAAACCAAAGAATACATATTCTATTCATACGAATCTATCCTAAAAATGTTGTCGGCATTAAATAATCCATTGAGTTTGATATGCCGTAAAACAAAATAAACCAAACCAATCTAAACCAAAGAATACATATTCTATTCATACGAATCTATCCTAAAAATGTTGTCGGCATTAAATAACCCATTGAGTTTGATATGCCGTAAAACAAAATAAACCAAACCAATCTAAACCAAAGAATACATATTCTATTCATACGAATCTATCCTAAAAATGTTGTCGGCATTAAATAACCCATTGAGTTTGATATGCCGTAAAACAAAATAAACCAAACCAATCTAAACCAAAGAATACATATTCTATTCATACGAATCAATCCAAAAATGTTGTCGGCATTAAATAACCCATTGAGGTTGATATGCCATAAAACAAAATAAACCAAACCAATCTAAACCAAAGAATACATATTCTATTCATACGAATCTATCCTAAAAATGCTGTCGGCATTAAATAACCCATTGAGTTTGATATGCCAAAAAAAAATAAAAATAAACCAAACATATTCTATTCTAAATCTATCCTAAAAAATGTTGTCGGCATTAAATAACCCAGTTTATTCTAAAACAAAATAATTCAAACGAATCTAAACCAAAGAAAATATTTGTACGGCATTAAATAACGCATTGAGTTTGATATGCCGTAAAACAAAATAAACCAAACCAATCTAAACCAAAGAATACATATTCTATTCATACGAATCTATCCTAAAAATGTTGTCGGCATTAAATAACCCATTCAGTTTGATATGCCGTAAAACAAAATAAACCAAACCAATCTAAACCATAGAATACATATTCTATTCATACGAATCTGTCCTAAAAATGTTGTCGGCATTAAATAACCCATTGAGTTTGATATGCCGTAAAACAAAATAAACCAAACCAATCTAAACCAAAGAATACATATTCTATTCATACGAATCTATCCTAAAATGTTGTCGGCATTAAATAACCCATTGAGTTTGATATGCCGTAAAACAAAATAAACCAAACCAATCTAAACCAAAGAATACATATTCTATTCATACGAATCTATCCTAAAATGCTGTCGGCATTAAATAACCCATTGAGTTTGATATGCCGTAAAAACAAAATAAACCAAACCAATCTAAACCAAAGAATACATATTCTATTCATACGAATCTATCCTAAAAATGTTGTCGGCATTAAATAACCCATTGAGTTTGATATGCCGTAAAAACAAAATAAACCAAACCAATCTAAACCAAAGAATACATATTCTATTCATACGAATCTATCCTAAAAAATGTTGTCGGCATTAAATAACCCATTGAGTTTGATATGCCGTAAAACAAAATAAACCAAACCAATCTAAACCAAAGAATACATATTCTATTCATACGAATCTATCCTAAAAATGTTGTCGGCATTAAATAACCCATTGAGTTTGATATGCCGTAAAACAAAATAAACCAAACCAATCTAAACCAAAGAATACATATTCTATTCATACGAATCTATCCTAAAAATGTTGTCGGCATTAAATAACCCATTGAGTTTGATATGCCGTAAAACAAAATAAACCAAACCAATCTAAACCAAAGAATACATATTCTATTCATACGAATCTATCCTAAAAATGTTGTCGGCATTAAATAACCCATTGAGTTTGATATGCCGTAAAACAAAATAAACCAAACCAATCTAAACCAAAGAATACATATTCTATTCATACGAATCTATCCTAAAAATGTTGTCGGCATTAAATAACCCATTGAGTTTGATATGCCGTAAAACAAAATAAACCAAACCAATCTAAACCAAAGAATACATATTCTATTCATAAGAATCTATCCTAAAAATGTTGTCGGCATTAAATAACCCATTGAGTTTGATATGCCGTAAAACAAAATAAACCAAACCAATCTAAACCAAAGAATACATATTCTATTCATACGAATCTATCCTAAAAATGTTGTCGGCATTAAATAACCCATTGAGTTTGATATGCCGTAAAACAAAATAAACCAAACCAATCTAAACCAAAGAATACATATTCTATTCATACGAATCTATCCTAAAAATGTTGTCGGCATTAAATAACCCATTGAGTTTGATATGCCGTAAAACAAAATAAACCAAACCAATCTAAACCAAAGAATACATATTCTATTCATACGAATCTATCCTAAAAATGTTGTCGGCATTAAATAACCCATTGAGTTTGATATGCCGTAAAACAAAATAAACCAAACCAATCTAAACCAAAGAATACATATTCTATTCATACGAATCTATCCTAAAAATGTTGTCGGCATTAAATAACGCATTGAGTTTGATATGCCGTAAAACAAAATAAACCAAACAAATCTAAACCAAAGAATACATATTCTATTCATACGAATTTATCATAAAAATGTTGTCGGCATTCAATAACCCATTGAGGTTGATATGCCGTAAAACAAAATAAACCAAACCAATATAAACCAAAGAATACATATTCTATTCATACGAATCTATCCTAAAAATGTTGTCGGCATTAAATAACCCATTGAGGTTGATAGGCTATAAAACAAAATAAAGCAAACCACTCTAAACCAAAGAATACATATTCTATCCATACGAATCTATCCTAAAAATGTTGTTGTCATTAAATAACCCATTGAGGTTGATATGCCGTAAAACAAAACAAACCAAACCTATATATACTGAGATAAATTAAAAATATTCCCAGTAATAAAAATCTTGTTGACATTAAATAACCCATTGAGGTTGATATGCCGTAAAACAAAACAAACCAAATCAAACCAAACCAAAAAAATTAGCTTGTCTCGTTGTCTGGGTTTTCCGATTTAATAGTTCCTGCTACTTTGATTCTTGGACAACCTCCTAGCTTCAATGATTCTTGGGTCTTGTGTTTTATGAAATGGATTTAAAAAAGAGTTCAAGTGTGTGTTGTTGTTCTTGTGGTTGACAGGGACAAACAAAGAGGTTTTCAGAAATTACGAAAATCAAGAGAGGAGCAGTAATCCCAGACATATTTACAGTCTTTCCATATTTATTTCTCTTTGTTTTTTTTTTTGTTTTAATTTTTTTCCTATCTTGCTTTCATCACTTGATTCTTTCTTTTACTTCAACCTTGTTTTCCAATCTTTCTTTCTTTCTTTCTTCTTTCTTTCTTTCTTTTTTCTTTCTTTCTTTTTTCTTTCTTTCTTTCTTTCTTTCTTTCTTTCTTTTTTCTTTCTTTCTTTCTTTCTTTCTTTTTTCTTTCTTTCTTTCTTTCTTTCTTTCTTTCTTTCTTTCTTTTTCTTTTTTTCTTACTTTCTTTCTTTCTTTTTTTTTCTTTCTTTCTTTTTTTTCTTTCTTTCTTTTCTTTCTTCTTTCTTTCTTTCTTGACTTTTTTTTTTTTCTTTCTTTCTTCTTTCTTTCTTTCTTTCATTTTCTTTTTTCTTTTTTCTTTCTTTTTCTTTCTTTCTTTCTTTTTTTTTCTTTCTTTCTTTTTTTTCTTTCTTTCTTTCTTTCTTTCTTTCTTTCTTTCTTTCTTTTCTTTCTTTCTTTCTTCAGATACGCGACTATTTCTTTTATCCAAACGTGTTTCTCTTTCTTTGTTTCTTTTTCCGCCACGTGACTCAGTA